AACGAACAAACGAACACCAACAGCGCCAGTAACAGCTTCCAGTTTCAGTTGCAGTTTCAGTTTCAGTTTGAGCTTCAGCAGAATTTCCAACCAATGAAAACAACGCGAATCGTTTTTATTAAAAATTTCATTTACCAAAAGCGAAAATGGGTAGAGGGTAAAGGGGGCACACAGCCGGGAGAAGGGAAGCTAAAAATGGAAGCTGAAGCAAGCGAAAATGTGTGGCAAAATATGAAATATGAGCAATAAATGGGCAAACGTCCGTCATGGTCCTTGAATTCGCTACTTCCATCTCCTTGACTAGCTCTTCAGCGCCCTATCCCCATCCCAATCCGAATCCCAAGCCCATTCCCATTCCGAAATGGGACAGGACAGAACACTACTTGCTATAATGCTCTTGGCTGGGGGCTAAAAAAATAAAACCAAGACAAATAAACGCTCAAGTTCGAAAAATTAAAATTACACAATCCAGAGAAGAAGAGAAATATGCGCAAGTAAAGAAAAAAAAGGCCAAAGAGAGGGACTATAAACAACTCATTGAATAGAAAAATATGAAATCCAGCAGGAAGTTCCATAAGGAATTCGCACGAAAAGGCAGGCAATTCGAAAGAGAATCGGCAACAGCAACAGCGAATCCCAGCTGAATCCTTGGCACAGTAACTATTTAATGTTCCATATACATAAATCCTAAATTGAAATAATTGTGGGAGTACTTTCCGCCTTGCGCCCCCTGCATCCATTCAACACTTGATGGATGTCAACATTTAGGCAGTGAAAGCCATTTTTTCGAGCCTTCGGTAGGGCTCAGCTTACACACACACACACACACACACATACACATAGAGTGAAAAATACAGAAAGAGAGAGTGAAAAAGAGTGGGAGAGGGGAAAGGGTGGGGGGACACTCGAGTGAGCTCGAAGAGCCAAGCACCGCGCACAACGCAATTAGCCTCCACAATGGACGAGCGCGTCGAGTGAGTGGCACCGACAGAACAGCACAGGTCGCCAACAGGTAGCCTCAGCCAACCGTCAGTCAGTCAGTAGTTGCAGCAATAACCACGAACCCCGAGCCAGCCCAGCAGCACAGCGTGCCACATACTCGGGCAGGCAGCTCGGGCCAGCACTTACAATTTAAAGCGTTTCGAGTGTAATTGCGCTTTTGCCGTTAACGAGTCGCTTGTTTAAGTCCTGCGAGGCACAGGAAAAAAACAGGAAAACAAGGCAAAATGGAGTGAGGAAATATTGGGGCACTCAGTACCCCGCAGTTCAGCTGCTGGTGTGGCCTGAACTGTGGCTTTGCTGGTACAACCTTTGCTACCCAGCCATACGCATAAAAGATGTTGGGTCCTGAGTTCCGCTTAATCAGCTATAAGTGTAATAAAGTGCAACGTATCACCCCATTTGGGGTCGTTGCCAGGCTTCACCTGGCTGGAGGTGACCATCAGATGCTCGGCCATAATGGCCCGCTCCCAGGCTTCCTCCTGACGCTGCTTTTGTTGATGCCGTTGCTACGCTGCTGTTCTTTTCTGGGCATTAATTAACATTTCAATGGGTGGACCGACGCAGTGGAAGAATAATTTCATTGCATTTAAAAGAACGACCTTAAAGTGGTGGCCCGGTGGCCAGTGGTCAAAAGGGACCCAGGCGGTGGCTGCCTGCTCTGCGCATAATTCAACATTTTCTTTTTTTTTTTTGTTTTTTTTGGGTTGAACACGACCTCGGGCCGGGCGGAGGCGCAGCTAAGGCCCGGGCTGGTATAACATTTGGCGCATGCAAGCCAGAAATGTGCAAGTTCAACGGAAATGGAAATTAAAGCACGAATCCAGAAGCAGCTCCGGTCTGCCGCTGCCTTTCTTCTACATACCTCTGACTGACCCACTCTCCGCATGTCTCTCTGTGTGTAATTCCGTATAAATAGATGGGAAGAACCCGTGCGAATTGGCCACAGATTGGCCTCGCTAATTGACACCTGGCTGTCGCCCCTGAGCCATTCCGGTCAGTCAGCAAAGTGCCCACAGGACCGCAGCCTAAACAAACAAAAAAGACAATGTGCAGCAGCAGCAGCATCAAAGGGTGCAAATGGAAAGCAAACAATATTTATACTGAATCAACAACGGGTCTCGTGCTCCGTCCCTTGTCCAGCTCGAACAGATCGAAGGGTGTGACACTGAGATGATCAGCCTAATCGGAATATTGGATGCTGATGGATTGACAGATTGATGGATGGGTTGCCGGAGTCGCGTGGAGGCGAGACACAATTTTTCTCGAGTCCCCCCCCGAGTATTATGCCGCACGGTAATTAATATTTACCTCTCGGCTGCCCGTTTTGTCTTTCCACTGTGTCGAGTTTTCCCTCAACTCCTTTTTGTTTTTTTCCTCAACTTACAAATTACGCACTAATTAAGCGGCCTTCTGCTGCTGCTGTTTCCGTGGGCCCATATTTCAAAGTCTTTCGGGCACTCGAGACGGGGCGATGGGGGTCCCTAAACTTGGACTTGGACTTGGACTTGGACTTGGGTCAGTCTCTGGATGGATCAGCATCCTTGTGCACATTCTGTGAATGAGAATCAGTCGCACCTCAGTCGCGAGAGAAGCGGCAAAAGCAAAAGTTAATGTGCATAATTAATTCGCTTTTGCACTTAGCCAGGCCCTCATTTTGTTTTGTTTGTAGCGGTTTTCTTTTGTTTATCCCAGCGCTCTCTCTCTCTCTCTCTCTGTCCCTCGCATAAATCAAAATCAAGGTCAAAGTCAACGCCAACTCCAACGTCAGCATCTATTCCCCCAGCGTACAAATTATTCATCATTCGCCGGGTGTAACATTTTTAATTGACTACGAAATTAAATTTGATTATTCTTTGTTGCTGCGTTCGGGTGTGTGTGTGTGTGTGTGTGTGTGTGTGTGTGTGTGTGTGTGTGTGTGTGCGCGCACACCTGCCACACACAGGGAGCCCTGCCTCAGGGAGAACGCGAAGGTTCTGCGGAGTCTGCGTAAGCTGCAAATTCAATTGGCATAACATCATGCACAATAAACAACTTCATTTGCAATATTTACTACCAGATAATTGAATGGCTTTCACCAGAAGGCGAAACGAAAAGCGACAAAGTCGCAGGGCAGGCGGAGGCAGGCAGCATCCAGCATCCATTCCACCCACTGTTCACATGCGCGACGAGTCGTCTAACATGCAAATGCCAAATTCAATAAACTCAATGGCAGGCAACAAATAGACCAAATTATTACATTGCCGCACGCACAACCACACGTGTCTGAGGACAAATGCTGGATGCTGGGGAGGATGCAGGAGTCCAAGGAGGAGCAAGTCTAAGGGGCAGCAGTTACCCCCCCTTGACACAAGCCGCAGAGCTACTTAGAGCACACAAAAATGAACCCCACGTTAGCGAATGCCAGAAATTTTGCCGACTTAAATTGAACGACAAAAGTGCGTGCAATTGGCAGCCATATTGCGAGATGTGCTCCCAATCCCAATCCCAATCCCAAGCCCACGCACACAAAACCCCAACCATAACCCATCTCTACCCGCCGCTCCCTGCGCTGATGGGGAAATGTACTTTCTGCTTATTGCGGCCATAAGTCGCTTGGGGTCGCATGCGTGATATGAGTGTAAGCTTAAATGGAACTAGAAAATAGAAACCCACCCAAGAAAGATTCCTTTAAAGCTGCAACTCCATCTCGATACAAATCAACATTGCAGCATCTATTTTTCACTTTAAAGCAACATTTATTTTCGTTCTTTTTCGTTCTTCTTAGTGTGTGTGTGTGTTTTTTGTCTCCTTCTTGGCTTTTCTTTACATTTCTTTGTGGTGATTGCTTTTCTTTTGTTTTGTGTGTGTTTGCCAGGGGATGGTCCCCCATTAATAAATTTCTCAGTTGGGAATTAACATTTGGCTGGCCCAGGCAACTTTTGCCGGGCATAACTTCAAATGCGCGACATTTATCAACGGCCACTCGGACTCGGTCGTCATCGGCTGGTTTAAGCATCGCCCAGGGAATTGATGGACGCTCGGGGATGGCTGCTGCCCCCCTCTCTCTCTCTCCCACCGCTATTTGGTAGATTTTGATTTTTATGCTGAATAAGTAGCTCTTTAAGCTCTTTGCATTTGTTTTCTTTTTTTTGGCTGCGGTCGCCGATGCTGACGCAAACACTGTTGTTGCAACTCATATTTAATTCAAATAATTTACACGCTTACTTCAACGTTTCGCAGCTCTGTGTGTGTGTGTGTGTGTGTGTGTGTGTGGTTGCTGCTGTGTTTGTGTGTGGGTGTGGGGCACACCGCATTATGTGGTTCATTGGTTTGGACCAAAAACTGCAACCAGCCAACAGAGCAATCAACTACGTCCGCTGCTGATGTTGCCTGCTGCTCCTCCTCTACGTCAGTTAACTAAACTGAACTCAACTAAGCTTTTCACTATAGACACACACACAGACACAGCATGTGCATGCGTAAGACTCTTGGTGGTTACTGTGGCTTGCATTTTGCATATCGCTGCTCTCTCCACATATAATATTTTACAACAAAAAGTCTGTTCGGCTATTGTTGTGCGGGCTGGCTGGCTGGCTGGCTGGCTGGCTGACTATAAAGAGTCGAAGCTGCTGCTGCATTTTATGTTGTCACGTTGGGCATTAAGTGGCCCAAAGGAGCTTGGCTACTAGAACACTCTTATGAACATGGTTATGCTGCATATGTATGCGTTTCTGCATACTAATACTCCGACCAGTTTATGGCTAGCTGCTGCATATTTTCTTTCTTTCTCAAATGTTTTTTTCGGTTTTAATTTTTGATTTTTACCCAACATTTTAGAGCGCAACTACACACTGTGTGCTTATGCTTGTGCAGGGTACATGCATATATGATTTATGATCCCAAGGGGGGTTTCAAGAGGCGATAACACAGTTCCAGTTCCAGTTCCAGTTCCCTGGCACTGGGAGTGGGTGTGGGTGTGGTCTGCTCTCCGTTCAGTCACTTCCGAGCTGTCGAGGCGAACCAAACATTGCCCAAAAGATGGATGCTATTTATGTGAAGCTTCTGATGTGCCGTTGCCTGGTGAATCGAGCTGACTGGGGTCTGGTCATTGGCTGCATAAATGTAGTCTACTCTATCTTTCTGCTTAACTTCTGGCTAGTGGAGCTTTTCCGGTCTCAACATGGTGAGCATATGAAACCCATTTCAGTTGAAAACCCCATGCAGCATTTTATTCCAGACTATCCCGTCAAGTGGGTGCTGCTGTATGGCTTCAATATCATGTTCAATGTGATCACCATGATGAGGATCGTGAAGCGGGAGACCATTTCGGTCTTCTACTGGTTCTGCGAGACGGCAGCCCTGCTCCTGTTTCGCATCCACTTTACTTATGTGGAAAGCGACTTCTTCTGGCTGACATACAGCATCTGGTTCCTGCCCATCAATCTTCCATTGGATAGTGGGTTGAATCGCAGCTGCGCTCTCTCCTTTCCATAACTATTTTGCTATAATTGCAGCTTACATTTCCCTGTCGCTGCTGGCCATAGTCTATGTAGTGTGCGGCCTGCATCTGGAGCCGGAGCGACAGTTTCCCAAGGAACTAATGCGGAATGATTACAAGTATGATCCGGAGGCGGAGGCGGCTGCAGCCAAGAAAGCAGCTCGGGACAAGCAGGATAGACTGGAGAGGCACAGGGAGCGCGAACTGAGCAAACAAAAGGAGCTGGTGGCTGAGCCTCCTGCCCCAAGTGCCACTCCGGACGCCGAGAACGTGAGCCCACACAGCCAGGATGACAATAACACCGATGAGTACGATAATTTTATAGAAATATCCTTTGAGGAATAGATAGTGCTCCGAGTTCTAGTATTTTATAGGCTGCCTTTGGTTCCATTTCGGAAGTAATATAAACAATTCCAATGAAAAGTAAAAAGAACAAACTTCACTTGACCCGAAAACGAGTCTGGGCCGCAAACCCCAAACTAAATAACAAACAAACAGCTCAACGGAGTGTGGGAGGAGGAAAAACTTGACTTAACTTTTGCAGGAGAGTGCAGAGCAGAGAGGGGATTACGATCAAAGCGCTCGATTGAGTGTGTCAATAAATTCCTGCCAGTCGACCGAGTGTAGAACATTTGTCCAGCATCAGCGATAAATAGTTGCCACGCCACACACTCGCTCTGGCAAAGAGGCAAAGAGGCAAAGAGGGATCCCTTGGATCCCTTTTGGCCAAAAGTTTCGTGTGAATTTAGTGCGGCTCATTAAGCGCCGGACAGTGTCCGTCATGCGTGTGTGTGTGTGTGCTTGTGGGCTATGTCTCTGCCCGAGTGTGTGTGTGTGTGTGTGCCAATGGATTTTCATTCAAACTTCATTAAGCTGGAAACGATGAAGAGAGGAAATTGCTGGGGCCATTGTCATTTGCACTGTCATTGCAGTGGGAAAGATTTCCATTGCCTAACCATTGCTGTTGCCCCCCATCCCGAGAAGCATTTGTCAACATTTTTCAGGCAGCCAAATGCCAGAATATCAGGACAACAACCAGAACCCAAACCCGAGCCAGAAGCTGTGCACGACCACAAGCAGGACACAACTAGGACCAAGTTGGCCTAGGCTTTAGCTTTAAATGAGCGCGCTCATTAAGAAAATTAATGTTTGGGATTCATTAAAAGTGTCAAAGTGCGCACATTAAAAATATATAAAATCCCAAGGACTCTGCCGGGCTGGAGTGGAGTAGGAGTAGGAGTAGGCGTAACGAAGCCAACGTCTTTGTCGTTTGCCGATTTTATTAACAAACAAAACATTAAAGGACCATAAAATGTTGATACAGCACAGGGCACACGCGACAGAGGCAGCTTCTGGATTGTGCGTAGCCGAGGCTTTGTTCTTGGCTGCTCATAAAATTGTCTCATATTGACGGCTCACGAAACTGACAGGCCAGAAACCAACATAAGTCTGTGTACAGACAATATATTGTACATCTTGTCATAGTATCTCATAAAACTAAACCGCAATTCATCAGTAAATTTCCTTTCTTCTCCGGCGTCGATCCGCTCGATGGATGTCTGGGGGAATATGCTACAATTTTATGCGCTCATAAAATGCGTAAAAATTGTTTTTATTATAATTATTATGTTATGCATGGTGGGTGAGACAAGGCAAGTTTATTGCACTGCCTCATAAAAGTGGAGGAGAGACCTCTATGAAGTGATGATGCTGTCGAACTTTAGTTGCCCCCTCCGACAATGGTTAAAGTCATCGCTGTTTGCCATTGCTCGTTTCCCGCTTATCTTTGCCACATTTATAATGGGAGAATATTTGAGATTTTCGCTTAACTTTCAGCCATTTGAAACAATGACAGTGCGGAGTCAACTGCGAAGTCAACAACCTAATACGTGTCAGCTGAAGCTGCAACTGCAGCATGGCCTTGCCTTTCCTGCTTCGAGGGGTTGCATGTCACGCACTGGCTGGCAAATGCTTAACGCTCCCCAGCAGAAGGATAGAGCAACACCCACACACAGATAGAGAGATGCACAATGATGGCAGCAGTCTTCAGTTAAACTTTCTGGCTCATTAGTAGAATGCTTAAAATATATTAAATGTGTGCAACTGGGGGGTCCTTCCATGCTCTGTTGAGCCACCGCTCAAAGCTCCATCGAGATAGTTTCAGTTATAGAAATAAATGGCATAGAAATTGTCTCTCCCTTCTACTCTGATGCTGCTGCTGCTGCTGCTGCTGCTGCTGCTGTGTTAATTTCCCAATCAGAATCCCACGCAGCGTATGCGTAATGCTCCTATTGCTCGCAGACACACACCAGCCTAGCAATTGCAACAATCAATGTTTTATTGTTGTACAAATATGGAAGAAAAGGCGGGGCAGTCGTGCCCCCACATAAACCTCACATGCCACAAGCCGCAAAGGCAGCAACTTAAAAGGCAATCGACAAAGCCCGTAGAGAGCCCCAGGGCTGACCAGAGCCAAGTCGGACCAAGGCAAATAAATGAACGCCGTAATTATTGCTGATGCCGACGCCGGAACGGGGCCAAAATGTCACGTACTGGCAATAAACCGCTGCTAATTTACGATGCCCCGGACTGGTCCAGGTCTTGGTCTTGGTTGTTCCTGCTCCCTAGCCTAGTCCGCTCTTCTAGCGGGGCATAACAAAAGGCAACGGAAGTGAAAAGGCAAACGGCAAACGGCAAACGGCAAACGCCTAAGCAGTTCGACCAACTTGAGAAGTTGTTGGCCGGACTACGGAATGTTTCACATTACGGCAGCTGCATAGAAATGGCCATCAAATTAAAGGCGGACCCATCGAAAATGCCAATAAGCAAGACGAGCAGAGGGAGGGACTAATGCGCATTAGCCGAAGGACCACCACGCCTGCATTAGCGATATTAAAATGGAGCAGATCTTGCATTGTTACGATTTCCATTCGGTGTTTTGCATCCATTAGTCGAGCGCCAAAAGCGCGCACTGATGCGGAACGAGCAGCAAATTTTGCTCCGCTTTTCGGTTAATTTTGAAAAAATAATCTCGTTGAAAACTCGAAACAGCTCAACAGGCAGCAAAGAGAGTCGGCAAACGGCTCTGTTCTCTTAACTGCCGCGAGTGTAGACTCTCCCACAAGGCGTATAAGAGAGCGGAGAGTGCCGGACAAGGCGCCTGCGTCGCTCGGCAAAGTCTACACAGAAATCAGCTGCTTTCGCTTGTGCCTTCTACGGCAAACGGCCACATTGCAGGCAGTTTGTCAATAGTTACGCTTGGGCATAGATACCAGACGCGAGCCGTGCCGACGCGCCTCGAACTGACGCCAGTTTAAAGCAATAAACAGAAACACTTTTGTTACTGAATTACCAATCAAATATAGACTGAAAGTCGCAACCACCAACAATAGATAAAATCACCATCTAAGCCTCAACTTCGCTCTCTAGTCGGGAGATCGTCTTATTTTTTGTTGTAAATTAATAACAAAAGTGTAGCGAAAGCATCCCGCATAATTAGGACGGCAAACAATACCAAAACCTTGCGAAATAAAAAAGATAAATAAAATCAAACCAAACTGTGCGCGGAGAACTGTCAGAAGGAAGCTGTCATTGTGTGTCCTGTCCGTGTCTGTGTGTCAAGTGTGGGGTGAGACAGACCATCATCATCATCATCGCCATCATCAGCAACATCCTCTCTCTCTGTAGCTGTTGTCGTTGTCCGTGTCGTTGTCGTCGTCGTCGTCGTCATCGTCGGCGTTGTCACAACTCGGTATAAATATTCATTCTGACGAACCTACCTGCGGCAAAGCTGCGCTAATGAAGCGAACAAAATGAAAATGAAAGGACATAATTATGCTTATGTGTGAGTATAATGAATACGAACTTTTATTTCGCAAATCCCCCAAGCGTACCCTACCCCCAACCCACCCACAAGGTCAGTCCCGTGCAGAACTGCAGCACAAGGGGCTCCACCATTTCTTGGTTTACATTAAATAATTACGGCTGACATTTCTTTAAGCACATAAATACATGGAATATATGTACATTCATCTTTCCTTTTTGAGTGCACTTTCAACGAATGTTTTTCGTTAGCCAGTAAGGGTAAGGGTGGATCCTGGCCCACAGCCTCTTCCTGTGGCCCTTTTCCCCATTTGTGGATTTAATATACTTCCCGCCCTTTCAGCATCGTTTGGCAAATTGCATTGGGACTGTCGACAATCTGACTGTGGCGCACAACTGGACTCGTTTCAGGGCTGACAGCATTCCCAATGTAGAGAGCAATTAGACTCCTGCATTAGGTTTCGGGAAAGTCAATGACTTGAGTGCAGACTGCAGTTCGATTGTCGGAGCAATTATACATACATATATGTACATAATGTGTATCCTCTGGTAGCAGATAACTGATTTTGTCCATTCGCGTTCCAAGAACTTCCCTTTTCTGTGGTGGCATTGTGTGCGTCTTTGGTTCAGTATTTGCCTCAGTTGCACTGCAGGCCAAGTATCCAAATGGTAGACACAGATATGGTGGAAGAGGATGGCATAGGCTAGGATGATCAAAAAGGAAAAGTCTGCCAAAAGATTATGCTGACACAACGACAGAGGCAGGGCAGGCAGCAGAAGCAGCAACAACAAAGGAGCCCAGTGCCAGCAGCAGATATTCAACAGAGCTTTTTGTATATTTATTAGAGTATGAATTAATTCAAGTATGAGCAGTTCGTATGTGTACAATATGTATGTGTATGTGTGTGCATTTGTGTGGCCGTGCAAGGGGTAAGAGTCGAGCCTTTGGGGCAGATTCTGATTCAGATTCGTGTAGGAAGCAACCGCAGCTCCATGCCATTTTTTTTCTCTCCTTTCTATCCTTTAGCCCAAAGCGAATTTTTGTTGCCAACGTTGGCACATTTTCCTCACTCCTTGCCAGACCACACCCCTCTGGACCGTGTTTTTGCTTCGTCTAACATCGTGACACGAGAATATTTCGTACTGGAGCGCGTTTAGAGAATTTTTAACCCTATGTTCATCTTCGTGCCATTAAATGTCTGTCCCTGCCCATCTCTAATTCCAACATATTTAGAATTTGGAACAACAAAACACAGAACTCGCTTTCATAATTACAAAAAAAAGCTGCAAGAAAGCTTCGTTTTAGAGTCGCGAAATGGAGAAACCACTTGAGTATATTCGACACCCCTTGGAGCCCTATTTGTATTATGAATGCAGAAACCATTCGTGGCAAAATTCTGTAGAAATCCAACAGATATACTAGACAGTCTCCCCATTTGTCATCGCAGTCAAGAGAATACATACCAAGAGGTGCGAGGAAAGCGACGAGAATGAAAACGAAAAAGTAGCAACCGAAAAGGAAAGCGAAACGCCCGTCGAAGGGAACCCCCCAACATTTATAGTGCATTTATTAATAGCAAGACGAGGACTGCCACTACGACTAAGACCATGCTTTGGGCTAGGTGGTGCGGGATGGGATGGGATGGGATGAAGCGGACGACGATTACCTTGACTATGAAAATATTTCTCACACATGAGCTGCTTGGGCGCATTGCATCGCATCGCATCGCTTCGCTTTTCCCTTCTTCCGTTTCCGACGTTCTTATTAGCATTTTTGCGAGTGTTTTCCGGGCCAAAACCAGCAGCAGCTACAGCAACCACAACGAGGGTTGCCGCACGCGTTTGCCAAGGGAGCGAAAATGTTGGTTACCCCCACCCATGGCCATGGGTCGGCCAGTGACGGTAATCCATCAAGCAACCTGCGCCCGTCAGTCTGCCTGCCCGGGGCAGGTGTTGGCCCGAGAGCTGTTTCAGACTGGTTAACGGCTTTCACCTGGGTTCCAGCCGCCGTGGGACACCTTGACACAGACAAAGGTCACCTAATGTGTTGCAGTCTGTGTGGCTTTGCATATGTGTGTGTGTGTGTGTGTGTGTGTGTGTGTGGGGCACACAAAGGCCAAGTGCCGACACCTCACCCCTCGCCTTCTCCGCGTGTCTATTTACTAGACAAGAATGGAAATTTTCCAGCTTTTTTGCTATTTTATTGCATTATTATTTCTCAAGGAACCCAAAGAAGCATTCTGCAAGCGTTAAGCGGTGTTGTCTATCCACTACATAAGATACAGAAAGCATTTTTACTGGTGAAAGTGTTTCGAAAGGACTTTAATCCGGGAGTAGCAATTGAATAGTGATAAAAATGTGGCTTAAACTGCAGGTAAAGTGAGCGAAACGATGCAAAAATAATTTATCTCTGTTAGGATTTCCTTCTGGAAATTTAGTTCTAGGTTACATTATAATTATCCCATATGTACGTACATATTTATATACATTTCTGACATAAGAACAAGGGTATCAAGTGTCGCGAACTCGTAAGCAAATGAGAGCCTTATATTTCCTTTTTGTTTTCCTCTTTTGGGTTGCTTTTGATGTGTCGCTATTCATCTCTGACTCCCCCACCCCATTGACTCTTGAACCGTTCTGTATTTTGCAGTTTACGTGTTAAGTGCTTTGCAAGCACGATTAAGGAGGTTTATCACCCGCAACAGCGGCAGCAACACGAGCGAGCAGCACGGCAACAGCAGAGGCAGCAACATCAGCGACAACAGAAACTGAAACAGCAACAGCTGCGACGGCAGCAGCATCAGGAACAAACGCGTTAGACACTCACCCAAACACACATTGACACGCCCCAAGCAGTCACACACATACACACTCACACATAGGCACACACATAATGCTTAAAGCAATGACAACACCAGCAATACTGTCAGCAGAGTTCGCGGCTGCTGCTGCTGCTGCTGCTGCTGCTGCTACCATGGATGATGATGTCCCAACGAGCATTTTGGAAATAGAACTGCCTGCCATTCTGCTCAACGAGAGCCTCTTCATCGAGCTGAATGGCAATCTAAGCCAACTGGAGGACACGGCCGTCAATCTGAGCCAAATCATTTGGAATCGCAGCGATGCCAGTGGCAGCAGTGCAAATGGCAATGGTAATGGCAGCCCCATCTTTGGCCTGGATGAGCAGCGAAGGGCGGCCAGCGAGCGGGAGGCAGCCGAGTTCTGGCTGCTGGTCAAGATGATCGCCATGGCCGTTGTGCTGGGCCTGATGATACTCGTCACCATTATAGGCAAGTACTTAATCAAAATCAAATCCAAATTTAAAATTTTCACCCCTCAAAACACATACTCAAGGGATGGGGGATGGGGGATGGGGGGGCAGGGCATTAAATTATTCTCAAATTTATGCCGCTGGGATAAGAAATAAGAAAAGGAAAGGCAAAGTTTCCTTTGTCGCTATCGCTGCCGAAGTGAACTGTAAATGAAGTGAAATTTATGATGCAGAAGATTTTTATTGCGCTCCCTCCCCTCTTGGTGGATTTTTATTGATTTTTTTTTGTCGGTGGGTAGGCTTACAAATATGATTTGCTGCCTGCTCTAGAGGTGCTTGCTTGGTGGCCAGATGATGTATGGGAAGTTCCTTGTTCTGAGACGTTTAATACCTCAACTGAGGTGGCTGCCTCTGGCACAAAGTTCCTTCAAAAATTACGTGAAAAGCTATTAAAAACGCGCCAAGGCGTCAAATGGAAATTACGACAGAAGAGCACACCATAAGCACACAGACACACGCCAGAGAGAGAGACAACAGTTTGTGTGTGTGTGTGCCGCCATAGGTAGATGCGTCGTATACGCAACATATCCTTGGCAAAGGCACACAGGCATATACGTATGAAAATGCAAATGCAGTTTGCTGGCAACGTTTTGACAACCTGCAGACTAGCAGCCTCAGCACGCAGCACGCAGGGAGAGAGAGAGAGAGCCAAGTAGGTGCGGGGTGGGGCCACTGACGTGATGTCAGTTTGGTGCCTTTGGATAGAGGTGTAGCAGAGAGTGAGAGAGTGAAGGTTGCCACAGCGGCAATTACAATTTGCCAAGTTGCATGCGCTTAATGAAAGCCAGCGACGACAATGACGACGCTGGGCGACGATGACTCTAAGCAAGCTGCCAGACAGCTCTCATTTGCATTCCACAGAGCAGGGAGCACCAGGAGTAGTAGTAAGAAAACGTTTAAGAGACATGTCCCGGAGGCTAAGAGAGTGTCAAAGCGGTGGAGATGGAGAGGGAGACAGGAGAGTGCACAGGCACCATTGCCAGCAATTAGGCAAATAAGTGAAAGCTCCATTGATATGACGCTTGTGCCACTGATTGATTCTGTCGAGCTCCATTTACACAGCTCCGCAATGTCACACACACCCACAGAAAAGTTAATTACTGGCTGATAGGGTTGGCGCTGGAACTGGGGCTGATATTGTGGTAGTAGCCAATCCACTCCCATAATGAAATCGAAACCTTAATGACCCATTTTGTGCATCATTTGGTGCATCAATTAATGCAACCACTTTATGTGAATTGCATGTGCTGAAATGGTCTCCGTTTTGTGTCTCCCCCACTGCCACAGGCAATGTGTTTGTAATTGCCGCCATTATACTGGAGCGAAACCTGCAGAACGTTGCCAATTATTTGGTTGCATCTCTGGCAGTTGCTGATTTATTTGTTGCCTGTCTTGTCATGCCACTCGGCGCCGTCTACGAGGTAAGTGTCCATTTTGCTGTCCCTGCTGTCCCTGCCATTGTGGCTTCGACTAAACCGATTACCCTAATGGAACGCCTGAGCGGAAAGTGCCTTTCGCAAATGAAATTAGGCGCCAAAGAGTTGACACTCTGGCAGTGGCAGCAGTGGCAGCAGCGGCTGCAGTGCTCCATGGCTAATTGTTTTAATAGCATCATAACTGGCCAACAATGTGCCATCGACTGTACTTGCGCTTTTGTCTGTTGTGTTTTTCCTCAGATAAGCAATGGCTGGATACTGGGACCGGAACTTTGTGACATTTGGACATCTTGTGACGTACTTTGCTGCACAGCATCCATACTGCATCTGGTGGCCATTGCGGCGGACAGGTGAGTGTCAGAGCAGTCTGACCCCCCTCCCCACGGAGTGACGGCAATTTGGACTTCCCTCGCAGATATTGGACGGTCACCAACATTGACTACAACAATCTCCGGACCCCGCGGCGTGTCTTTATGATGATATTTTGCGTCTGGTTTGCCGCCCTCATTGTGTCCCTGGCACCGCAGTTTGGCTGGAAGGATCCGGATTACTTGAAGCGCATCGAGGAGCAGCACTGCATGGTTTCACAGGATGTGGCCTATCAGGTAATAGATACTAATGGCAATACTCTGCAGTCAATGACCTCTACTCTCCCCATTACACTCGGCATCTCTTGCTGTGTTGCTGTTTCTCGATAGATATTTGCCACCTGTTGCACGTTCTATGTGCCGTTGCTGGTGATTCTGTTTCTGTATTGGAAAATCTACATAATTGCCAGGAAGCGCATACAAAGACGCACGCAAAAGTCCTTCAATGTGACGCTGACGGAAACGGATGTAAGTGCAATTCGACGACAATCAATATCAGGTCTCCTGCCCCCCTGCCCATCCGTGTAGCTCCTTCTAATCCCAGTGATAAATGTCAAGTGTCCACTTGGCCAGGCCTCATTGAAAGAAAGAGTCGAAAAAATTACGCATACGCCCGCTGGGCCCACATATAATGAAATTCTATTCAGGCGAGTGTCTGAATAGGCGGCTCACCCTCCGCCACATATTTTTGGAGGCTGGCCGAGTGGATGTTGATGCTGCTGCTGCTGCTGCTTTCTGAAGTGTATTTGCTTGCCTGCCATAATGAGTATGTCATTAGCAGAAACAATAATGCGAATGTGAATGGGCTGGGGGCAGTGGGCTCTGAGCAAGTCCTTGGCTGCTCATTAGCATGCCCAAGTGAGCACCCAAGAGGCAAAGGCCAACCGAGATTTATGATCAGCCCAAATGTGGCTGTGTGTATCCGGGTAAGTGTGGAAAGTGCGTGGCACATGGAGAGTGCCAGCAGAAATAATTGCAGGCCAGGAGAAAGTCGATTTCGTTGACAAGACACGAGCCAAATGCTGCTCAATTTGCTCACTTTTCATCGAGTCAATAAACAAAAACAAGCCATAAATAAGTCGAGTTGCCAACCCTCCTCCCGTTCTCACTTTTCGCAGTGCGATTCGACGGTCCGCGAGTTGAAGAAAGAGCGCGGCAAGCGGCGCGTGACAGAGCGGAAGCGGCAGGAGGCTGGTGAGGCGACATCCGCTGGCGGCACAGAGGGGCATGTGCAGCGGCAAAGGCTCAAGCGAATGCGAATCTGCTTTGGCCGCAACACGAACACGTATGGGATCTGTGCCGGATCGGAGGGTGCCGTGGCTCGATCAATGGCCGCCATAGCCGTGGACTTTGCCAGCCTGGCCATCACGCGGGAGGAGACAGAGTTCAGCACCAGCAACTACGACAACAAGAGCCATGCGGGCACCGAGCTGACGACAGTCTCCAGTGACGCGGAAGATGTAAGTGTGGCCGTGGCATGGTGAGAGAAACCCAATAAGGCGCTAATTGTTTGCACACCTCTTTGTTCCACCTGACGGGGTCTCTCGCCTTTCCCCTTTCCCCTTTCCTATTTCCCCTCGCAGTACCGCACCAGCAACGCTAATGAAATCATCACGCTGTCGCAGCAGGTGGCCCATGCCACGCAGCATCATCAGATAGCTTCCCATCTGAATGCCATTACCCCGCTCGCCCAGTCGATTGCCATGGGCGCCAGCAACCTTGCCACACCCACGGCGGGCACGTGCACGGAGGAGAGCGTAGGAGCACTGGGCGAAGCCAGCAGCAGCCCTGGCAAGGGCGCTGGCATGGGCGTAGGCATAGGCATGGGCACTGTACTCTCCAGCATTGCCAATCCACACCAGAAGCTGGCCAAGCGGCGGCAGCTGCTAGAGGCAAAGCGCGAACGCAAGGCAGCCCAGACTCTAGCCATCATCACGGGCGCCTTTGTCATCTGCTGGCTTCCCTTCTTCGTGATGGCCCTGACAATGAGCCTGTGCAAGGAATGCGACATTCATCCGGCCGTTGCATCGCTTTTCCTTTGGCTGGGCTACTTCAACTCCACACTGAATCCGGTACGTACATAAATCGAAACCTCTATACCTCCCCTCGCTACCACTGCACTTTTTTCTCTATTTCGTTTTGCGTATCTCTTCCAAAGGTCATTTATACAATTTTCAATCCGGAATTTCGACGAGCCTTCAAGCGTATTCTGTTTGGCCGCGGAAATGCGGCGCGGGCTCGCAGTGCGAAAATTTGATTTCAACTGAAGGCCAACGGGGACCAGTATCTATGATTAAGGTGAAACCCCCCCCGCAAAAAGTCTGGCAAAGCCAATACTCGTGCTCGTAGAAGAGAGAGAGAGAGAGAGAGAGAGAGAGAGGAGCGGTGAGTATCTCGACATGGACTCAACTAAGGAATTGGCAATGTTTTAGAGTCTAGCAAGTAGATATGTAAAAGGTGTTTTAGCAGTGACAATCCAAACCATAGTTATATCTATAAATAAGCAAAACACACGCAGCAAAGCAGTAGTCCCATACAAATCGAAATTGTAATCACAACTCAATGCTTCATAGAGGAAATGCGAGATGGCATTAATATTATTACAGTAAATGATATTGTATATAGATATTTCTAAAGTCTTCCCTGTGTCTTAAAGAAACCCAAAGTAAAGCAAAATGGAAGTAATGTTTAAATGTTTAGTGCCCTAAGTAGCTGTAGGTGTTAGGTGTGGAAATGATATCCGGGTCATGGCTGGGTCCAAGGAACTTACGCTTTCGTACATATTTCTGTGTTAGTTGAATGTGTTTCGCCTGTAACCCACGCGCATAATGCGAGTATGCTCAATTATTTCAATCAGATTATATATACATACACATAGATAAGTCCAGGCAAGTGTATCCCTGTGTGTGCTTGTACAGGTACGAGTCAATATCAAATTGTAACGAATTTACACGACAACAAAACAACAAAAAATATAATATTAACATTGTATTTAAAGATAATATTCAATTCCTGTGAAACTTCAACAAAACAACACTTACCCAACCCGGCCAACTATTCGGCTACGACTACGGGTATGCAGCTGAAAAATTAATTCCATAACAATGAACTCGAGTGCTAGAGTGGAAAATCCCCAGCCCTTGCAATTGTAAGCCCCAAACCACAACGCAGTAAAAGTTGCAAAAACCAGAGCAGTTCTGCTTGGGATCAGTCATGATATATGAGCTATACTCAAACGCATACCATATGCCGTATATGTATGTATTTATGCGTATAATTTATATGTACTCGGGTATATTTTATGGTCAAATTTTTGAAAAGTTTTCTTGTTAATAAATGGACTTATAGTTTTAGCAGATAGTCAACCAGAAACCACCCCGACAACAACTAAAGTAACAACAAAATACTTGAAAATGCAACAACTACAAAATACAAGTCTATAATGTATGAATGTATGTATAAATGTATAATGTATGTAAGTGTGTATGTGTGCAATGTGCAGCTGTAGGGAATGTCTATTAAGTCGATGCTTTTCCAACTGAAACAAAATATGCTTCTAAAGTGCAATATGTGTTTATTTATATGTGTCTGTGAGTGTATTTATTAAATTTCTCGATGTGTATTTGATGTCAAAGTTATTAAAATTGCCTTTTATCCAAAGCGGTTTGACTGCACCTAATATTTTATTCATATTACTAACAGCCGTCGGGAGCTGCTTAGGGAGTTTGGGGTTTGGGCTACACTGGACAGACACAGTTTGCATGTTTACCCTCACGTCGAAATTGACAAAGTTTTCAAACGCAAAGCCAGCCGCCGCACGCACTTGCCTCTGTTGTGTGTGTGTGTGTGTATTGTAGCAAAAGCAAACTGCCAGCGCATTCAAATGTCAAAGTTCAAGTGGCCACAGACACGCATACGTACATACGTGTGCAAGCTGCCTGTGTGGCTGAGTGGCTGGATTGTGGGTGGGCCAATGGAGATGGATTACGCATTGGCATTATCAACACCGGAACAGGCAAAAGCCTACAAATGGCCCAGAATGTTAGCTGCAACAAAAATCGATACATCCATGCAGAAAATAGCCCGCAATCGCTTGTATTCGTTTATTACATCTTTGGTACCTCTCTGGCAATCAATCCGTGTCCCATTCACAGGCGCACATTCCCCTGAAGGCTGCAGCTAAGCCTCTCCAAAGTGGCTTGCTCCAGTGTCAACTAATTACGACAGGCACCAAGGGGAAGTGCCATCAGGTGATACACAGCACGGGCTTGAGTAAGTCGTTTTCTTCATCCTTCTCGTGCCTGCTCTGGCTTACACAAACTCGTACACATGCAGCTGTATGGGACTATTATTTGCCAACACTTTTAATTTCCTGTTGGCCCCCAGGGGCTTCCACATGTTGTAAAAAAAGCAGTCAGGGGAATAACATTATATGGCGGCTACCCAGCAAAAGCAAACAAAAAATACAAATTCCAATAGAAAAGTTTTTTGGCATAATGAAAAATTAAATACACATTTATGTACATATTAATTTCAGTACATCTTGAGAGGTATGTAAAGAGCAATTTTACAACCACTTGGAAAAGTTTTCAAATGAAGCGAGCAAGAGTCGTCGAGTCATCCCGTGTGAGTATCTGCAAATGTGTCACATCATTGATAACCCAATATGTACGAGCATATCTACATATCCATACGTATATGTATATGTATATGTATATGTATATGTATATGTATATGTATATGTATATGTATATGTATATGTATATATATATGTATATGTACATATATGTACAGACATGAGTGTGCGCCTTTATTAGCCTAGTAGCATTATTAATTTCCTCTCTGGCACACTGCAAAGGCAATAGCTGCAGGATAATGCCAATAAAATTCGTTATATTAAAAAATTCTTTAGCCCAAAAAATGCCATAAATCGAATAAATATCGAGTGGCACTCCACCAAGGCAGAGCAGAAATGATCCCTCGTGAGGAGGGAAGGAGGAGTGAAGGCAGGAAGACAGAAAGACAGAAAGGCAGCACCCGGGGCACACACACAGTCGCAGCATGACTGTGTGTGAGTGAGTGCCAAAATCCAGGTTTGTTTGCTTGGGCATCAATTTTTGAAGGCTTGAGCTGGAGCCACACACAAGCGATGCGAACTTTTGGGCAAGCAATTCAAAAGGTATTAAAAGTATTAAAACCGAAATGAGTGTGGCCAAGCATCTATCAGTCTGCTCGTAAGTCGCTCTATGGGTGTTTGAGGGTAAGTTTTAATTGAATTGCATCGGATGTGTGTGCAAATTGCTTCAAATGATTAAGGGCTTATGGCACGAGTGTTGACCAACATTGAAGGAGCGCCGCACAAACAACTCTGCTAAGTTGGCCATTGCCCGGCACACGTTAAGGTACTTATGAGCCACTTGAAGCAGCGCTTTGTTCATTAAAGGGTCTCAGGTGAGACAACTCCTAAAAGCGCGTCACTCGAACAGTCTAAAGCGAGCAGGAGACAGGGAAGTAAACTAAAGTAAAGTAGGAGAAAGGAGAAGGGAGAAAGTATACGTAAAAGCAAGTTGAATATTTATAGCGATGGCGGCAACAAACTCATTGCAAAGTTGTTGACACCGCCGCACCACCTCCGCCGGTGCCATTCAATGGACAGGTTCGAGCACAAAAGGAGACAGGACTCTCCATGTTGGCAAGTTCGACTTTGTAAAGACTTTTTGCAAATTGCGGCCAAGTGCACTTTTCGTTTCCTTCAAAATCTGCTGGCACATTGTGGTGACTTCTCCTCTACAAGCAAAATGACAGCTCCAACAGAGTGGACCCGAGCTCGGAGCGGAGCTCCTGACGGACACAACAAAAGCGTGCAGGAGGCACTGAAGGGGGCAGGCAACGCGAATGGATGGATGGTTGCTTGTAACGCTGCAAAGCAAATTGATGCACGTCAGAACTAATTACAAAATAATTTAAATTATTATGTACACGGAGAAGACGAGCAGCAGCAGTAGATGAAATTTCCGCTTTTAGGTCAGTTGTTGCTGAACAATTTCTACGGTCCATTCTGCAGCACCTCGAGACCCGATTCCGAGAGATTTCCCTAACATAAATGTGCACTTTTGTGCTGATATTGCTGCATGGGGTAGGAAAGGGGAGATTTGGGGCAAGTTTGTTTCAAGTCTGCTATCGTGTCTGCGCAGCTTATTCTTTGGGCCAGCAGCTTTGAGCGCTGACAACTAGCGCAAAATGCCAAAAAAGACACGTACCTAATGAACACAAACACGTACGAAGCGACGTTCGAGGACAGATACGACCATGCTTAAAGTTTCAGCTACCCAAAGTTGTGTGCAACACAGCACAGATGAGTCGGGCGAGGGCCAGCCAGCACTTGGCTAAGAATGGACAAAAAAAGAACAAGCTCCAACTTGCTGCCAAAGTTTCCTGTTGCAGCCGCTCGAAGGGTGTCCAGGCGTTGCTCAGCTGAAGGAGAAGCGCCACAGCCGATGGGTTGAGGTCTTGGCAGAGTTTTTGGGGGGGTGGGAGGTTGTATGTGCAGCCGGCGTGACGCTCTCAGCGCACAGCGGAAGTTGCCCACCCCACGCCCGTCCTTCCGCACTCTTCCTGCCTGCCGACTGTTGCATTTTTGGCGCTGCAAGGCTCGCAGCTAGGAAGCACTTGCCATGTAGTTGTTGTACTGTTGTTGTTGTTGCTGCTGTTGTTGCAAGTTACAAGTGCCGTTGGCTTAATTTTTATGCACATGCAGCTGTGTGCGTCAGAGTGTGTACGTGAGAGTGTGTTTGTGTAGTGCAGTTATTGCTCTTGTTGGTTTTCTGCATATTTACTCGTTGGCGGAGGGCGCAGAGCGGAAGGAGACGTGACAGTGGCAGTGGCAGTGGCAGGATGAGGAGCGTAGACACAGCAGACACAGGGATATAGGGAAAAACACTTGCGTAAACGAGTCTAGGGCTGGCTAGGCCAAGTTTTCGCACAGTCGAAGGGTAAAGTTTTCATTTTCAGTACACAGGCAGGCAGGCAGGCGCACGGCACGGCACGGCCTTGCCTAAGTTCAGACACTGACATTGTGACTTTCCTGGCCGCCGCCGTGCCAGCCGCACACAGTCACGATAAATGCACATGAAATTGCAATTTAATGTACCATCATCATCAGCAGCAGCAGCAGCATCAGCAGCAGCAAGGGCGGCACAAACAGCAACATCTTCATTTCGTATGATTTGCATATGGGCGCACGGCAGAGTCCCACAGAGAGTTGGCAGCTGAAATTTGCCACAATGCACTCTGGTGCCACTGGAGCACATGTGGATTCAATAACAAAAGCCAGCCAAAAGCGCAT